TACATGAAGTAAAATAAGAAAAGAAAAACATACAATCCACTATAGGATCTTGCTGATGTTGTAGAAAAGAAAAGTTACATATCCATGTTTCCAGATCCAGGAGTTACATTGTAAAAACAGTATAAGCATACTAAAAGCCAAAAACTAACTCCATAGTTAAAACCACTGCCGAACACGCATGCACAGAGAGTGCTTGCAAATATAAACAATCTTAAACAAAGGATCCCTTGGCTCTTCCCATACTCCACCTTCTGGGTGTTAACCATATGCTGATTGGATAATGCCTGTATGATGTGTTTTAACCCAGCCTCTAGCAGTCCATCATCTGCCATGTGACTGCTTTTCTCATGAGCTCAGATGTTGATGTACTGACTATTTTTTCCCCAGCTAAAACTGTATTTGTTTTGACTTATTGGCCACCTGTTGTTGAGTTCTCTTTGTGTTCAGTAGATGTTGTTCCCATGAGGAAATTTCCACACACACATCTCTACATTTCACCTTTGACTGTATAACCCATCCATATTTCAACAAGCTGGGTACTCATTTTAGCAACCGCAGAAGGATGCAAGGCTGAGTTGCCCCTGGAGCCTTGCCTGGGGTCGAGCTCACAAACCTTGGGGCTGTGAATGGGTGCAGTATCGGCATTTAACCAATGCACCACCAGGGCCTCCTATAATACTTGCATAATTCCCACTGATTCAATAGGTCTACTGAGTTGAGGCTTGCAATTGCATGTAGGCTACACTAACTAATGAAATGATCATCATTGGTTTGCTATCAAAATGTTGAAAGCTACATTATCTGTACTGCACATACCCTCCAACTGTCCCTGTTTAGCAGGAATGGTCTTGACTAATCCTCTGTCATTCCCCTTGTTCAGCTGCTTCTAAAATGTCCAGGCTTCCCTCTGTTCTCCCACTTTCACCTTTTGTCTTCAGCTTATTTCAGTTGCTGCAAACTGAATTCAAAGTGCAAAAGTAGTTCGCACTCAACTCAGCAGAAGAGGAGAGGAGAGGAGAGGAGAGGAGAGGATGGGTGGAATCATGCCCTTCCCAGTAGGCTTAGGCAAAAGTAAACTGCTACATCCTCTCCTAACTTGAGTGTTCTTTCTTATTAGTAACTTTTGCCATCTTGGCCACATTCCATTGTTGCTTGGCCACATGTGTCCCAATTTGTGTCTGGAAAATGTTGGAGGATATGGAAACGTGCATTTTTGTGAGCCGAGATGGAGCGATCTGGTATCATCAAATGTATCCAGAAAGAATAATGGGAGAGCTGAACCCCTGCTTTTCATGACAAAGACATGAAAGAGCGGCCAGATACCACTGGAATCTTTCAGCTTTTTCTTCCTTCTTCAGCTTTTCAAGTGGTAAGTCAGCTTGGATATCTTTGAGCCGTTTACAAGCTGGAGGAGGAAGGGGCCTGGGCTCTTTTAGGAAGCATAATGCCCCGCTTTGCTGACATTAAAGCAGTGTGACTGACTTCTTGGCCTTTCTAAAAGCCTCTAATAAAGAGTGCAACATCCGGCGTCACATTTTTGCCAGATCATTATATGGTACAGAGGCCACTTTGCTCCTGACAAATTCTGGGATTTCAGTTTTTGATTACAAACCAAGGACCTCAGACTGATAGTTCTTCTATCATAGGGTAGTGAAATGGCTCAATTTTGGTGGAATTTTTTTTTTTTGCTTAATTTTTCAATTGGTTTATTCTTCCTATGAAATGGCCAATGTTAGCAAAGTTGATATATTTGGGATGGGAAAGTATTTGAGATGTTTTACAAATAAATAAATAAATAAATAAATAAACAAACTAAATGGGAACAGATTTATCCATCCATGCCCAGGGCTTGAGTGCTTAACTTTCAAAAGTCTCTATTTCAGTCTTCTTTTTCACCAGGATGCTAAGTGAGTTTTACCATGTTCCTCATCTTTAAACTCTTTGCAAACCCTGTATGGTAAGCAATGGCAATCTGAAATACCGTCGGACGCCATATTACACGAGAGATTCCAGATCTCTTTGCAGAATACAAAATTCTCATATTATCTGGAAAGCAATTTTTTTAAACCTGAAATGAACAATGGGATTTACTGTTTTGTGAAATATTTAGCCTTGTCTTACAGAGAGCTCTGGTGCCACAACAAACTACAAATCCTAGGATTCCATAGGATGGACCCATGTCAGTTAAAGCTATGTCAAAGCGCATTAATTCTGCAGTGTGTTAATTCTCCTTGTTTTTCTACAAAGAAGGAAAGCATGTGCATGGTTTAGAAATGTCTCTGTGTTTCCAAGTCTCCTTCCTATGTTTGTTTGCTTAATTTCTTCAACCTGGAATGCTGCAGGAATCTCGACAGTACCAAGATGAAACATATGGCAAACGTGTGTATTCGGAGGGAGCTTGAAGAGGGATCTCAGCACGATCTGGCTGTCATTTTCATTATCCATCTACTTCACATTCTCTGGTCTTCTTCCAAAGAGCCTAAAGTGGCTTCTTGAGCTGCTTCCCATCCTAGCAATATTGAATCATTTTAGTGCTTGGTTTCCAGGTCTACATACTTTACAACTGTCCTGAATTGACTACTCCTCTGTTGTCCCACTCTTCACCTGCTTTTGAAATGCCCCAGTTTTTCTTTCTTCTTCCCACTTCCTCCCATTGTCTTGGGAATACTTGAACTGCTTCAAACTGAGATCAGCGTCAAAAAGTACCGTAATTTGTACTCAGTTGGCTCAAAAGGAGGAGAAGGAGAGGACAAGAGAAGGTAGAATTTTGCCCTTCCCAGTAGGCACAACCAAAAGCAAACTGCTGCAGCCTCTCCTAGCTTGTCTGTTCTTGCTTATGAATAACCTTTGCCATCTTGACCACGTCTTGCTGTTGCTTGGCTGTACATCTTCCAGTTTTCTTTTGTGAAATGTTGGCTGGTAGGGATCCACAGAGGCACTTAATAGCTGTAAGGCACCAGATCCCATTTGATCTTGGAAACTAAGCAGGGTCAGCTCTGGTTCGTACTTGGATGGGTGACCACCAATGAATACCAGGTGTTGGAGGCTCTGTTTCAGAGAAAGGAATGGGCAAAACCTTCTCTGAGTATTCCTTGTCTAAGAAAGCCTTATGAAACTCATGGGGTCACCATAAGTTGACATGTGAGACACACACAGACACAGAGATCTACAGTCTTTCTAAGGTTTGACTTGGAAAAGTTACTCTTTAGGGCTACAGCTCCCAGAATCCCCCAGCTTGTCTGGCTGATTCTGGAAGCGGCAGTCTCAAAGAGTCACTTTTTCAAGGCCTGGTCCAAGGATGGTCATGGTGAGCTTCTGACGGAGAAGATCATCTTCAGACCATCCTTAATGCCACAAAAGGCCAGAGCAGAGAATATGACAAGAGAGCCCAATGTTACATGAAATCGAGGCAAATCAAGGAGAACCTTTCAGAGCTTTCCCAGTGACTCCTCCTTTGTAAAGTAACAATGCATCCCCCAAGTGCTCAGGGCTTAGGTTTGAGGAATGTTAAGGACAGAGGAAAGGTATTTTTCTTCCTTTCCACTTTCTCACACTTGGGATTCCCTATGGGGATAATTTTTTGATGACCAGCAACTACCATTTGCTTTGTAGCATTCAGATTGCATGCATCTTCATCAGGGTTGCCAAGTATTCCTTATTATAAAGGATGCCCCTTATATGAAGATGATAAAGTGTGTCCCTTATAGAACCGGTGTTCCTTATTATAAGGCAGGGGTTGGCAACCTACGGCCCGTGGGCCGCACCCGGCCTGCCAGCCCCTGCTGACCCCTGCCGCCGGCGACCCCTGCAGCCGCCGCCGCCACATGCATCGCAGCCGCCATTTTGTTTGCCAAAATGGCAGCTGCGACTCAAACTGTGCATGTGCAAACGAGTCACAGCCGCCATTTTGGCAAACAAAATGGCAGCCACGATGATCACGGCAGTGGTGGGGTTGGCGATGGCGGGAGCCACACGCGCGCCACCATTTCCCCCCCGCCCCAGTGGAAGACTTGGGACCAGCGACCGGCCCCAGGTAAGTAAACCTTGCCAACCCCTGTTATAAGGGATGACCCCCTAGATGAGGGTTGGAAAGCTTTTCCTTTTACAGTCGGGTCTCTGTGTCCAAGCATTTTTAAAATCCAGGGATTCAACAATCCACAGCTTGACAAATGATTTTGCTATTTTGTATAACCTTGATTTTGCTATTTTGTATAAGGAACACCATTTTCCCTATATCATTTCATTTAATGGGACTTGAGCATCCATGGATTTTGGTATCCACGGGGAGGTCCTTGAACCAAACCCTAGAAGATACCAAGGACATATTGTATATAGACTGAACAAGATGCCAAAAAAACAAACAAACAAAAAAAAAAACTTGCATTTGTGGATATGGGGCCTCCATAAAGACAGAAATGTGTGCGTTGTGTAGTTCATGAATGTGGACAATGTGATAGTTTTGCAGAAAAATGCGCAACTTGGAAATAAAGTAGTTTGACACCACTTTAACTGCCACGGCTCTATTCTATCTTGGGATTTGTAGTTTTGTGCTGGACCAGAAAGCTTTGGTGGAGGAGGCTAAAGATTGTGTAGAACTAAAAATCCCAGAATTCCATGGGATGGAGCTCCAGCACTTAAAGCAGTGTCAAATTACATTACTTCTAGATGGTACCCTAGGTTAATTGAAATTAGGTAGAAGACAAACTTATTAATAGCGACTTCCTGCACGTTGTGAATTTCCATGGGCCCTTTTTTTGAAAAGCTTGGCACCACTAGTCTTTAAGGATCCTTCCAATCAGGAACAGGGCTTGGCACAACCAATGTGGACCTGTTGTTGTTGCTGTTGTTGCTGATGTTGTTGTATGCCTTCAAATCATTTCTGACTTATGGAGATCCTATCATGGGGTTTTGTTGGCAAGTTTCTTCTGAGGGATTTGCTATGGCTATCCTCTGAGGCTGAGAGAGTGTGACTTGCCCAAGGTCACCCAGTGGGTTTACATAGCCAAGTCAGGATTTGAACCCTGATCTCCTGAGTCATAGTCCAACGCTCAAACCGCTACACCATACTGGCTCAATTCAGTTCCATCTTGCTACACTTTCCTCAATCTCATGGCAGAGGAAGGGGAGACAAAGCTGATCAGTAGCACCCCTCCAGAAGAGTGAATAGGGAGCACATTGTGTGTGCACTGCAGTGTGCATTGGAGTAACACACATGATCCCATGGAAGAGGCAATTCCGTCAGTTGGCTTCCCAGTGCATCTGTCTTTTGGTACTTGTGTGCTTGGGCTGACCTGGGTTGTTTCCAGGTCATCTGGGGAGCAATTGGAGTGCCGTGGGGCTAGCCTTTGGATGACCCAGAAAAATAGCCCTCGCCAGCTGTAACAGAGCGGCTCATAGATTAATGCACCAGGGGAACATCATGCACACATGGATGCACATGTGTACCTTAGGGTTTCCCCCCCCTTTTCATCACCATCATCTTAATATTAACAACATGTTGTTGCTGATGTGGTGGTGGCGTCTCAGAGTCATTTAGCCATACCTGTCAAACGCTGGAATATTTTCCCCGTAGGCTGTCAGAAGACTTCCTTCAAATATTTGTTTGGAGCGTTGCACGTCCTCCACCTGGGTTTTCCTGGAAGGAAATTTCCAAAAGCGTCCGTGTTCACCATCCCAGGATCAGAGGTTGTGGCATCGGAATAGATCAATCAATCAACCAACCCTCCCTCAATTATTCATGGCAATGAATTATTCATTTATAGTGCCCTTGCTAATTGTTATGTATTTATTTGTCAACCTGGTGAGTGCATTGGTACCCCCTCCTGTTCCATGCGCATGCCAGGCCCCCCTGATCCTGCCAACCCGCCCCTATTGTTTTGACTGGTTCCCCGGGATGCCTTCTCCCCAGGCCAAAAAGAGTGGGATGAAAAGGAGACACAACAATCTGTTTTGTTCAAGCCAAGCATCTGGAGCCTGACCCTAGGGCTGTTGATGTAATTAACATGTAACTAACCCCTGCCACGTTCGGGTCAAAGGTTGGAGCAGGTCCAGACTCTTTAGCTTGTCTCCTTAAGGGTCCCGAGGAGGGAGGTGGAAACAGCTCTCGGTCCCATTTGTGCCGCATTGCTCCAAAAACTCATCTGCGCTTTCTTTTGCATCCTTGTTTCATAGAGAGCTTCATCTAGGGTTAAAAACAACAACAACGCTACAAAGAGGAATCCTGATTTATTTGAAAATAACTATGAAAGACTATG